TATACATGACAGGAAGTCCACATGGACAGAAGAATACTACTTGGGTCTAGTTTTTTCAGTGCGGATGGTAGCCTGGTATGCTGAAAAGAGTCATTAAGAAAAACTCAGAAATTCCTTTTTCCATTGTTGAGAAAATACAAGGCACTTTAAGTGTTAAGTGCCAGATCAGTGAATACAATACGCAAAAATATGTTCCTCAACTGGCAGAACTGCTTTGAGGACTAAAAATAATCCTAATGGATGTTTTTCAAGTATTTTGTGTTCTCTTCCACCCACTGATTCCGATTCCGATTCGACTAATGTTCATCAGTGATGACTCTGTGCTGGACACTTTGCTAAAAGCTTGCAATTATCTTATTGGATTATCTTTTCAATCCCAGGGGAGCCTCATGGTTCTCCTTTCACAGACGCAGGAAAATTAGGAGCTTTACCTAAGGCCTCATAAGTGTTGAGTGAGGGGCTGTTTTTTTGTGTGTGTTTGTTGTGTGTGTGTGTGTGTGTGTTTGTTGTGTGTGTGTGTGTGTGTGTGTGTGTGGTTTTTGCAGAAGCCTGTGGAAGGGGAAACACAGCAGGATCGAATTGCAGGGTTTGCAGGTGTGGGCTCTCTCCTGCTCACGGAGTTTTATTTATTCATTGACAGCCCTATGCTGCATGTGTTCAAAGACAGCTGTGTCTGGGAAGCTGCAACATCATACTGGTGATATCAGAGGGTCACATAGCCAGGTGGGACCCAAAGATAAGTTCTCTTTTGGCGTATTTCCTGTCCCAAGCAACACACGGTTGGCCCATGTCACATGAAACGTCCGGCCAATCCGAAGGTTCTCTTAGGGAAACACAGGCTGGATACATGCTGGTGTTTAATCTTGCATTTTGCCAGACTGTAACCCCCAGCAGCATGGGGGCACCGTGTATGTTTGTCCTTTCATGCGCTCCCTGGGGGTGTTAGATGTTCAAACACACCCACTGAGAACAAAGTAAGTATGCTTCGGAAGAGCCCTTTCTCTCTGGCTGTCTTACCCCAGACATTTCAGGTACAAAAGGGAGAACCCAGGGGCCACTTCCTGGTTGTGCATTTTCAGTTTCTTGCACAACCACAGCAGGAAAGCATGGGACGAGACCTGATTTCCTCAGAGTCATCATTGTTAACAGCCCGCTGCTTCTATCACTATGCAGCTTCTAGCTTTTACACTTTTTCATAAATTCCTCTTTTCTTAAAAAAAAAAAAAGTCTAACCCAAAACTTCACATTGATTGCTACCAGTAAGAGCAATGAAAAAGGATAAAGATATAGAATCTTTTCCCCTGGTCATTTGGCTTTCCTTGGACTGCAGGTCAATACTTCAAAGATTTTCTTGAAACTTGCAAGAAGGCAAATGACTTCATGAGGTCACCATGGTGACCACAAAGCTGCAGGACTTGCCAAGTTAATTCCTTATTCACTCCTCCTCCAGCTCCCCATCTCTCCTCTTTTCTCTCTCCATCTATCACTTGTTCATATTGTCCCTCCTTCCTTCTCTCAGTATATTCGTTTATCTTGACAGGTTCCTAATGTTGTGAGAATGGTCAAATTAAAGATATATTATGTGAATGTTCTGATGATGTCAGAGGAAAGTTCTTTGGATTTCCTAGTTCTCCATTGACTAATTTTTTTTTCTCTGGGAGTAAACTCTGTTCCCAGCAAATGAATGAGCTTCTCCCCAGGTCAGTAACCACCGCTGGGCCTTCGACAGGTAAGGGAGTAATTGGCTGCCTTTTTCAAGATTAAGGCCGAGGATCTGTATTGGAAAGAAAGAGTAATAACTCTGCTCAAAGATGCTGTCCCTGGACGACTTTAGCAGGGCATTCAATATAATACATTCTGTCATTTGCCCAAACTACTTTTCAACTGTGTCTCCTACAACCCCCTGACACTCCTCCTCTCAGAGTAAACTGACCATCTTTTATCCCCCTGAGTATAGGAGGTGTACCTCCATTCCTTAGCTGTCTGCCCTTCCCAATGCCTGGAAATTGCCACCGCACCTGAAACACGACATGAGCATGCTCAGTGGCTCAGGCTCCATTGGTCAGGGAATATTCATCTAGCAGCTTTCAGGTCCAATCCTATCCCTTCTCTCCCACTACTTGCCTGGATCCATCCTGGCCTTTCTCCTCTGAACACCTACAGCACTTCCCCTGCATCAGGCAAATAGTTCATCTCCACTAAGAAAGCATATTGGTGTTAAAACTGGACATGTCGCTCTTGAGAAATCTTAGCAGGCTCGGGAAAAAATGGTGTGTGTGTGGCCTTAGTGAAGGAACTGAGGGCAGATAGTCAGCATGGCGGAGTGGGTGGGGAATTGATGAATACAGAGATAGAGTAATTAGAGAGAAGTGATGAAAAGGAAATATCCCCTCTGCTCCTGATCACTTATTGTGCAAAACCCATAGTCCTCCCACATAGCTGTAATGATTAAAAAAACACACACACACAAAACATCTTTTCAGTTTAGAGAGACCACTACACACGCACACATTCTACACCCAAAATGCCAAAATGTTCACTAAATTGCATGCAACTTCCTACATGCAGTTGCTTTGAGGTCCTTCTATATCCTCATGACCAAAATTAAAGACTAAAGAGTTTACATTTGCAGAAACCGGTTTGTCTCCGTGGTTGGAGCATCAGTCTGCTGATTGAAGGGTCCCAGGTTCGGTTCCGGCCAAGGGCATGTTCCTTGGCTTCAGGCACATCCCCACTGGGGGATGTGCAGGAGGCAGCTGGTCCATGTTTCTCTCTCATCGATGTTTCTAACTCTCTAAGACAGCTGTGTCTGGGAAGCTGCAACATCACCCTGGTGATGTTTTTTTCCTCTCTGTAAAAAATTCAATAAAAAATATATATTTTAAAAAGTTTACATTCTTCTTCCTTCCCTTCTCACCCTTTTACTGCAAGTGCTAACTTGCTATTAGGCCTCTGACAACAAACCCCCATGACCTTTGTTTCTAATCATGCATATATGTACTCTCACAATGTCATAGGATGTTACTCTTGTAAGTGGAATGTGAACATTAGAAATCAATTTTGAATAGCCGATTTTGCTTTTATAATAAAGACATTTTGAAAAATAATGAAAAAATTGTGGACCCTGTAATACCTTTTCCAAATAAAATCCAAAAGGTATTAATATATATTCTCATCTATTATAATAAAAGCATAATATGCAAATCAACCAAACTGCTGAATAGTGGAACAACCGTCTGGACAATGCTGGGATGTGAGGGTGGCCCAGGCAGCTGGGGCTGTGAAGGCCTACTCTTGCACAAATTTTGTGCATAGGGCCTCTAGTGTATATGTTGTACACATATATATTCATAGCCATACACATGTCAAAGTTACGATAATAACTCATGTGGTTTTGATCTGAAAGTTTTATGAAATAAACATTGAAAGTATTGGAAACAAAACTTTCCTCCCCTTATTTTCCCTTTCAATAAATATTTAGTACCTATTGTATTGGTGCGGTAGAAAATAGATTAAAATACTGTCTTCTCTCACATCCACGTGTCTCTCCCCTTCCCAGTCTCTCTCTCTTAAAAAAAAAAAAAAAAATCAATGGAAAAATATTCTTGGGTAAGGATTAACAAAACAAAACAAACAAACAACAAAAAAACACACCAAAAAAGAAGTTCTTGGGTAGAAAAGCGGTAAAACATTTTGGAGTTTCGGCAGTGCCTCTGCACTAGCTTCTGGGAGATTGTTTTGGGTCCCCTTGGCATAAAAGTCTGGGGTGATCACATGGCTTGTGAGTGAGTAAAGACTGAGAAGCGGTCATATGGGCGGTAGCCTTCCCCGCTGGGAAGAACCCTGGGACTTGGAACTCCCCAGCAGGAGCCGCAGTTTCCCTTCTAGACTTTCCGCGGCCCACCCACGGCAGGAATCCCGCGGGACGGGGATCGGCCCAGCGCGCCCCAGCAGAGGAATCTGGCGGGCGGAGAAGTCCTCCCGCAGGCGGAGAGGCGAAGGACTTTCCATCCCAACCAATCAGGCGAGAAGAATGTTGGCACACCCCTTCCCGCGTGCCAATCAGCACCTGACTGAATGGCCCCGGCCCAATGACGCAGGGCAAAACGCCTTTTAAATCGTATTCGTATAGGGTGTTTTTTTTTTTTTTTTCTCTCTCTCCACCATCATTCTAGACCACCCCAAAAACTATGCTCAAAGAGGAAACCTGAGTGCAATAATTCCAAAGCTGGCCAGTCTTGTGGTGAGAAGCGAAACTATAAACCTCTCCATCCACTGTCATTCCAGGAGGGACGAGGGGGAAAAGGAAAAGGGAAAGGAAGGCTTCGGAGGGTACACTACAACTCCCAAGAGGCCTTGCGCGAAGTCGGCGCGGGCCTCGGGCGAAGGGGCCGGCCTTTGTAAGGAAGCGGGCTGAGCGTCTCCGGGCTCCTCTCCGACTTCCTGAACGCGAGTCCCTCTGATTGGGCGGGACTTGCGGTGGGCGGGGCGCTGGCCTCGCCGCTCTCGCGCTTTGTGTCCTCTCACCCCCTGTCCAGACGTCGAAGGGGGCGTGGCCCGCGCGAGGGCCGGCGGAGTGGCGAGCGCCGCGGGACGTGGGTGACGCGGCTGCTTCCAGCTCAGCGGTGTGTGAGGTGTCGCGGCCCCGCCGGTGATTGGCTGCTGGCGAGCGAGTGCGCTGCGGCCGTTGGTCGCGGGCAGCCCGAAGGGAGAGCCGGGGCGGGCGGGCGGGGGATACGGGGCGGCTGTGGCGGCGGCGGCGGCTGGAGGAGGCGGGCGCGACGAGCTGGCGGCGGCAGCGGCAGCAGAGCCCGGAGTCGTCCTGTGAAGCGCCCCCGCGGGGCTTTGGGTGAGGGCGGCCGGCACGCGGGCCTCCGAGGAGCCGCTCCCTTCGGACTCGCGCTCCCATCCTCGCGCTCCGGCTCCTCCATCTTGGCCTCGGCAGTGGCGGCTGCCGGGAGGATGTGCCGCCTTCTGGCCGGGGGAAGAAGGAGGAGAAGATGAAGAAGTACCGGCGGGCCTTGGCCCTGCTCTCTTGCCTCTCTCTGTGTTCCCTGGTCTGGTGAGTGAGCCTCGCCCGCGGGGGTTTTCCCCGGGGCCCGCGGGGGAGGGCGCAGCTCAGGTCACACCCCCACATCCCCTGGAGTTTCGGGGTGCGGGTTTCCGAGGTCCCTAGGAAGCGACACACCGATGGCTCAGCGACCCTCTGGCCGGCTCGGCCGGACAGCACTGCGTGCGGAGGTTTTCTGGGTGTCCTTCGGAGTTTACAGGCGGTGGGAGAGGCGGGGGCCGGGGGGCCGGGGGCCGACCACCTGCGCGCCTTGGCGCTCAGCGCCCCTGGCCCGGGGGGCGGCGGGCGTGGGGGCGGCGATGGGATGGGTGCTCGGAAGCCGGTCAGTTCGCTGCCAGCCACTTGCTTTCCCAGGGCGGCCAGGGCATGGAGCAGGGCGGCTGGGATACGTTCCCGACGTGCGGTTTTTTAACGCGAGGTGTTCCGAGGGGGGTTGCCATGGACATCTGTAGTTCCATTTCTCGCCGTCTTTGGGCTCCAGTGCAGTCGGGGCTGCTGCTTGGGAACTTTGGGGGGCGCTATGAAAGCACTTTTTTTCATTAAGGGGGAGGTGATGGGAAGCCACTGGCTCAGAAGAGAGCGTGGCTCAGGTGTAGTGGGTTCAGCACCGTCTGGTGCCCTGGCTGGGGCATGTCCCTTAGGAATGGGAGGGCTGTCTTGTCCCTAAAGTTTAGGGAGTGTGTACGTTCCTGGCACGTTGGTTTGTTGTTCTTTTGTGTGTTTTTTTTTTTTTTTTTTTTTTTTTTTGTGTGTGTGTGTGTGTGTGTGTGTGTGTGTGTGTTTTGTTTTTGAAGAGCAGAGAGCTTGCCGGTCCAAGGATTGCTATCATTGTTGTACCTTGGTATGGATTTCTTCAGAGATGTGTGACGCTTTGCTCATTTACCAGGTGCTTCTTCATTCAAAGTGGTTTGCTGTTGATGAAAATTCAAATTCACTAAGTTTCTGGTGTAGCTTCTGTCTGCAGAAAGACCAACAGTTTTTGTTTTTATTTTGGGGGCTGGCTTAATAAATCCCAAAGACACTGAAGTTGTTGAGTTCTTTCTCCCTTAAGATGGTACATAAATAAGAGGGAAAGAAAACACTTGCCTGGCAGAGGGATTTTGATAGGAAGGTTGATGGATGGTTTAGAGAAAAAGACATTTTGCCTCTTGTCTTTGATTCCGTATCCTCTTAAGACCAATGTCTGCTCTTGCAACCTCAGGGGTATTATATTGGGTTCCAAGACGTGCATGTAGGTGAGTCCACTTACTCCATTTTAAATTTAAATTTGTAAATGAGATACCAAAACCTTGTGTTCATTCATTATCCACCTCCTTGGCTGCATAGTTGTTTGTAGATGACATCTTTCCTCTTTCTCCTTGGTCTTATCCATCTTTAGACTAAGTTATTTTTCATTAGCATTTTCAAAAATGGCTCATAGGACAAAGAGGTTACACTTCTCATTCAAATTTAAAATGCACCATTATCTGTGAATTTCTTTAAAATTTTGAACTATATTGGACATATAACATTGTTTAAACTTAAGGTGTACAACATGTGGATTTGATGTTTATATATTGCAATATGATTGCCATTGTAGTGATAGAATCTCTGGCATGTCTCGTCATTTTTTGTGAGTGTGTAGTTGGAATAAAGTAAGTTTGATGATTGTCATAGAATATTGTTATTTATATTCACTGTACTGTGTTTTAGATTTCCAGGATTTATTCACTAGTTTTAAGTTTGTGTTTTTAAACATGATTTAGAAAAAATTTAATTGGATAGTGAAGATGAAAACAATTTATAATTTATTATAATGTGGTTCTTAACATTTGTGGATTACTTTGTATAATTTCTGGCTATCTTTTGCTTAAGCTAACCTCAATATGATTTTTCAACTTTACTCATTAGCAGTAATGAGGATATTATGACCTGTTGGGGGTGGGGGGTTCAGATCAGTTAGCCTAGTACTGAAAATAGTAGTGGTAAAGTTCTGTGAAGTTTGTTGATTCCCATGGTGAAAAATTAATGTTGGGAGTTTAAGTAAAGAGTGAAAAGTTTGTGGAACTTTTTTTTTTTTTTTTTTTAATATATTTTATTGATTTTTTACAGAGAGGAAGGGAGAGGGATAGAGAGCCAGAAACATGGATGAGAGAGAATCACCGATCAGCTGCCTCTTGCATCCCCCTACTGGGGATGTGGCCGCAACCAAGATACATGCCCTTGACCGGAATCGAACCTGGGACCTTTCAGTCCGCAGGCCAACGCTCTATCCACTGAGCCAAACCGGTTTTGGCAATGGAACTTGACCTTAAGAAACATTTGGGTTAGTATGATTTGAGATTTGTTTGGACTGCCAAATTTAGAGACATTTTAATATTATTCACTGAAGCCATTAAAAGACATTAAAATAGGATATTTAGACTTGAAGTGTTTTGAAAAGGTGGTGATGAGATTGGGGAAGAGGATGGTGCATGATGGTGATTGGCAAAGGGTATGTTGTATCTTTTGAAACCCTTCTTCCTTGGGAAATTAAAATATTGAAATTATAGCACTGACCCAACTAGAGGTCTAACTTTTGCTTTAGTTATTTCCCAACATCTCATTCCCCCTTAATCCACTTAGGTACCTAAAGCCATTGCAGAATTAGACAAAAGGTTTGTAGAAAGAGTTGATAAGCTCCTCTTGTAGCCAATTTTGTCATCTTTGTCATTCATATATTATTCCATTATAATTTTTAAATTATTACCCATTTCCCACAAGTCTCTCAGTACTAAATAGAATTTGTTAATTTTTTCAAATTTCCAGACAGTAATGTTAAAAAACCAAACCATAATTTTCTCTGTACTTTCCCACCTCTGTGTTTCATGTAAATAAGGGTCTTTCCCAAAATACTTTTTTTTGTTTTGTTTTGAGGGGGCTCCAGTGCCCCCTTTTTTGTGTGGAGAGGGCCTTACTTTACCACACTGCCCTAATTCAATGCTGACACTACGTTTCTGTACTAAGGGTTAGATTTGTACTTACCAATATATTTAAGAAGCAGTTCCTCATTCCCAATTCAGTTCTTTCTTTTACCATGAAGTCACTGATTACAAGGCTTTCCCTTTTTAAAGCTCTTATCAAAGGCTGTTTCCACACATAGCCAGAGGAAGAGCTCAGTAGATCACTGTGCTGAGATCAGGGCAGTAGGTTGATTTTCTGCCCTAGATGTACCCAGTGTTGTATGAGAAACAGGAATATAAACAGTTCATTTCAGTTCGTGTTTTAGTAAGTGCTCAGCTAGAGAGATGCCAAAGGGCTGTGGGAATTGAGAATAGGGCCGCTTGTGGAAACCAGGAAAGTCTCCTAGTTTCTAACTATTGATAGTTCCTTTCCCAGAAAAAAGAATAAGAATTTTGCCAGGTTTTGGTTTGTGGGGAGTGAGAGCAGGGGCAGAACATTGTTGGGAACAGCATGAGCCAGAGCTTGGAAACATGGTATGTGTTCCAGGAACACAAGCAATTCTGTATCACTGAAGCATAAAGTGGGAGGCAGGAGTGTCAGGAATTACAGAAGATGAAGACTTGGGTAGTAGAAGAATTGTAGAGATTTTTAAAAGAATGCAGGGAAGCTTGACTTTTGTCATGTAGAGTCTATAACAGGTCTTAAACAGGAGTGGTATCCTGAGGTATAATAATTTAGTACTAGGTTTTGGAGTGGTATGAAGGGTTGAATTGTAGAGGTAACAAGGTAGGAATTAGGGAGCTCTGTTAGGGGTTGCTCTGGGTAAGAGATGAGTGCTTAAGCTAAAGCAGTCTTAACAGGGAGGGAGAAATGGATTGCATACATTTGAGGTAAAATAAACTGGAGATGGTAAAGGAGTAGCACGGATGTTTTCAGGTTCTAACTTGAGGACTGGGTGGATAACAGTACCACATGGTGAGAGCTAGGACGTAGGAAGATGCGGTTTAGAAAAGGAATATAATAAGCTGTATTCAAGTTTGGATTTAATTTTGTTTTATTTTACATATCTTGGTCAATGAAGGGAGGAGAGATTCAACTTATAAATATGCTTAATTTATTCTCAGCATTAATATAGATACCATTCGAGGGTTTTAAGAACAGACTAGTTAGGAGAAGATGCTAAGAGCTAAAGATACACATTTTGGCAGCCACCAACCCAAAACCATAAAAATAGCTGAAATTTCTCAAGATATACTAAAGAGAGATAAAAGGGAGAATGAGAAAAGAACGCGGGTGGCATCAGAATTTAATGATGAGCAGAAGCAGAGTTATCAAAGGAGACAGAATCAGAGAGATGGGCAGAAGTGTGTTTGACAAACCAAGGAGAGGGTTTCTAGTGGCAGTGGTCTAAGGTGCCATATGCAACAGAGAAATAAAAAAATGGTAAATTGTGCCACAACCATACCAATTTGATAAGTGAGAGAAGATAGAAAGGTCAATAGTTGATAACAGCAAAGATTTTAGGGCATATTCTATGCCAGGGCTAAGAATAGCTTGTGCATTATTTCATTTTCCTCTCTATAACACCATTTACAGTATTGGTATTGAGGTACAGCTGTTTTGTTGTTTTCCTAAAAACATATACAGGAGACCGGGGATTACACTTGAGTAGCTTGACATTGAAATCCATACTCCAGGCAGTATACTGCAAAGTGTCATGTTTATTAGCACTTGTTGCTATCTACATCATGCGGCAAATGCTGTTCCTCCTTTGTGATAGTTTATGTTATACTAACTAGCGTGACTAATGTCATCAGTTTCTGAGTGAATGGATCCATATTATTTCCTCACCTTTCTTTTTGTTCATCCACGGACTCAAGAATATTACGTATAAAATGCAGTAGTCCTGAAAGAATATGGGCTGTGAAGAGAGATCTAGGTTTTCAGTCACAAGTTGAGTGACTTTGGGCAAGTTAACTTCTGAGCTTTAGTTTCTTTATTTGTAAAAATTGAGTTAATACTTTAAAGGTCTTGACAGATTAAAAAACTTTTTTCTTCTGGAGACATCA